TTTTTTTAGTTTGGAGGAAAATATCCTTATCCATGGAGTAAACCTATTCAAACTTTCTTTTTGAAATAAACATTCCCTATCTGTTAAAAAAAATAAATATAATAAAAAACCCAAACCCTACTTGCCCTCACCTCCAAAAAAACTGGCATGAAAGAAGGAATCCTTCTAAATAATGTTAAAAAATTACTCAACAATTTCTGAGGAATTGCGCAAATCAATCAGAATATAAACTTAATGTTTTGAAAGATATATATGGCTACAAGTAGGGGTAATTTTGATGGATTATAGCCAAGAGATTTAATGTAACTTGATCCTTGCTTTGTAGAAAAGGTTAATATCATTTTGTGCTATTACCCTTTTTCTTTGACTCTATATTTAACAAAGATTAATAAAGGTAGAGGTAATAAATATACAACTTTTATTTTCTTCATTTTCAAAGTTTGTGTATGAAAATAGATTTGAAATTAGTATCCTCCACAAGTTGATCAGTATCTGTGTGAGGAAACGTAAAGGGTTTCTTGTATCTCTACAAGTTCATTTGACCTATGCATATGCTATAGCGGGGATACAAAAGCTAAAACTGAAAATATGATATAATGCATGAAAAGCTTTGAAACCAGGGAGTTGAACCAAAGGCAGCCTCACTCCCAGCAGATTTCCTAGCTGGTGTACAGAGTATATCTCTCCCTTACATGATGTCCTTTTGGCCCAAAGGCTCTTGAATCCATTCTGCCTGATGACTTTCTCCACTCTTCCTGTTGAAGTTATCCTCCACCAGGAGATGTAGAGTCAAACATACTCAGGCTGAGAAAATCAGGATACCTAGGTCTCTGTCTTTTTGGGCAAGTGCTGGTTCCTGCATAACTTGTTCTTTTCTTGGTGCCTATAACCATGGTCATGGTCCACATGGGGCATCAGGTTGAACAGTTAGAGCCAGGGGCGGGAATTTGAAAGATTCCAGGAGCAAACTATGTCTTGGGAGCACCTGAGGGTGGGCCTGATTTCCAGCTGTGGGGGTGAGATCCAAAGGCAAGTGTCTGAGACCAAACTCCAAGCCAGAGAACTAACCAGAATCAGAGGGTCAGGAAGCAATCTGAGGTGCAGCTAAGGTCCAAAATCCACAGGGCTGAGGAGTCCAAACCAAACATTGAGCCAGCAGATTAACCAGAATCCGAAGTCTGAGAAGTAAGCCAAGGTCAAATTGGAGTTTGAAGTCTGAGGGTACATGGTCAAGAATACCAGGGTGAGAGCCAGAGAAGTCACACGGGTTGGAGCTGCTCAGGCTGGAGACCAGCAAGATGTGCAGCCAGGTTCAGGTGCTGGAGGAGCTCCTTCAAAGCAGCCCCAGAACTAATCAGAGAGAAATGGCAGGGCGGGTAGTGGACTCTGATAAGTTTGTTGGGTGGCTGACCCAGTTACTTAGGCTGCACGGCAGGAGCCTTACGGCCATTGTTGTTCAGGTAGACATCTTGTCTGAGTGATCTAAGTCCTGGTGTGACAGATGCATTTCTCTTTCTTCCAGCAGTTATATGCATAATCTGTAAAAAGGAGCACTGCTACACATAATGTTCCTGTTCACTTGCTGTAGGCACCTCCCTGTTGAGTGACTAGGTGATCTGGATCTGCCTTAGGAAGCATTTTGGTATACCTCTAGCACTCTCTAAAAAGCCTAGGTGCCTAATCCTGTTGGTTAGGATCACCTATCTAGGGCCAGGTGCCTAAGTTGTAAACATGCCTTAGAGATCAGTGAGAATCTTGTTTACTATTTGATTTGTATAAAACAAGCGTGTTAAACTCACCTACTCCCTTGGGCCAGATCCAGACTGTGGGGTTCCTTATCAGGACCTGGCAATTGTGGCAGAGTAAGCAGCAGCGTGGAGCAACTGAGTGGTTGCTTTGCTGCTTGCAAAATACAGTGGCTGTTTGCTTCCCTGTTGGTGATGCACATGCCCATTGGAGCTCTATTGCTGGAAATTAGGTCACAGGTCCTGCCCCTAATTCTCAGATCCTCTGGGAGGCCTTTGGGCTGGGCAAAATATCTCCACAAGTCAGATCTGGCCCACAAGCTATATGTTGGATACCCCTGGTATAAAAGTAACCTGATGAACATGGTTCCACAGAATGAAAATATGAAATGAAACAGTCTTTCTTCAAATCTCTTCAATGGGAAAATGGACACCATGGTTGCTAACTGACATCAATATTTGCAGTCTTGCTGGAAGAGACATAGCTTGAAAAAGGGTAAGAGGAGTGAATTATTCAGTCTCCCATAGTGCTTTTCCTCCAGGTCAGGGTCAACGGAAAAAAGTTTTCACTCCTTTTGCTTTGTCCAATGTAGTTAAACAGGTCTCCTTTCTCCAGTTCAACCTGGTTGCCAGTTTAAGTTTTCCAAGTATTAATTTTACCCAGTTTAGAAAATAAATTGAATATTTATTAAAAATGTAACCTGATATCTGTTATGAAAATGGTGAAGAAATCAAAGTGAAAGTAACCTTCACAGAGCCGTGCTTCTTTGCTTCTGGGATGAGGGCAGAGGATTAATAGCACTGAAAAGAAATGATGCTGTTATTACTATAATTTCTAAGAACAAGTCTTTTTTTAGGAAATCAAATTGTTGGCATCAGTAGTAAGATCTCATATTGGAGAATATTCTTTTGGTGGTGCTAGAAGTTCCTGAGCATATAGGCTTATTTTCCCCAAAAGGTTATGACGGATTTAGAAAACATATATTTTCACTTGAAAATTAGGAATTATTTTTATCCTGTATAATGCAGATGGATTGACTTGGGAGCCATAGCAGTCTATTGCATCAGTGACCTGTAAATTAAAAAGGATCCATATTGACTCAAAAGGAATGCTATTATCTCTTTCCTGCTAAAAATTGCTTTTAAAAATGTATCCATATTTAGTTTCGAAATAGGGCCAGAGTAGCTAATCTAATGAACAAGTAATAAGTTCTAAACTTAGTAGGATAAAAATACATTTTATAGTAACTCCATTTTGTGAATGATACTGTGTAAATAACACAATTGTAAACAGAACTTGTTCGTGAATCTTAAATCTAGATGTAGTCATAATTAAATGCTGAATGATAAACAGCTAGTTTTATGACACATTTTCATTTTCTTGTTCCTTTCCTTGCTTACAAGAGTAAATGAAAAAGTGAATTAACAGACAAAAAACCTGTTTAGTAATAAACAGGCTAATCAAGCAGAAATTCAGTTTGAGACTCCATCCTCATAAATCTGACCTTATATAGCAGCATTGTGGTGCACAAATGGTTCAGGATATTCCCTGACCTAATTAATATTGACATCTGTAATAATCACTGCAGAAATGCAAGAGTGAATTTTACTTCCAGATTTAAAATGCCTAGTATTTTCTTTTAGCAGGGATCAGCAACATTTTGTCAACCTCGGCCAGAGCTTTGCAGCCCAACTCCTTGCCGCAAATCTCCCTCTCCTACCACACATGCACACTGCACACCAGAAAGCTCAAGCTTCCTGCCCTTACTCTCACTGTACATATGTGGCCCTCTGCAGCAATGAGTGCTGTGGAGGGGATGGGAGGGTCAATGCAGCCCTGTACTGCCTGATTTTCTGGGTCAGTGTGGGAGGAGGAAGGAGGATGCAACTGGGCCAGCAGACCCCTTTGTAGGGCACAAAAAAAGCAGTTTCACAGTGGCAGCTGATTGAAATGCCAAAATCAGCATGGCACTGCCCTGGTTGCCACACAGTTGTGCTGCTGTTCCTCTGCTTGGCCATGTCCAGCTCAGGGGCCATAGGTTGCCAATCCCTGTTGTAAAGTCTTCTGCAACTGATATAGTGCAGCGTACACTTTTGTCTGAAACTCTATGGCTAGGCATTAGGGTGTGTGAAACAGGCTGTATTCAATTTGGATTCAGCCCAAATCGGGGACAGTGATTCAATTTGTTGATTCAGATCACTGTCCCTGATTTTATTCAGCCAAATCCAAATCTGAAGATTCAATGTTGATTCCCAGAATCAGTAATTTAGCCATAGACATAGCTTTAAATGTTTTTTCTCCATACCTCAAGGTACCAGGCATGGCTCATGAATGCTGAGATGCTGGGGCAGATGAAGCATCCCACAGGAGTATGGGGGTGCCACCCACATGCTCAGCGGTGAACCCGGAAGTGGACTGGAAGTATTTTCATTTCATTTCCCAGTCTGCTGGGGAGCATGTGGGGGGGCCCTCTGCACCCCTCAACTCAGTGATTGGCCATGGGGGGACCCCAGGTGCCCCTCCAGAACCAGGAGGCACCAGTTGCCAAGTCCAGAGGGGTGGGGGGGCCCACATGCTCCCCGGCAGACCTGGAAATGGAATGGAAGTGCTTCTGGTCCACTTCCAGGTCTGATGTTGAGTGTACTGGAGACTCCCCCCCTTCCCCCCACAGGTGCCCCCCGTGGGACACTCCATCCACCCCACCATTGCAGCATTCACAAGCCACCTGGTACCTTGAGGTATGTAGAAAAACATTTAAAGCTGTGTCTATGTCCAAATCCCTGAATTGATTCAGAGGGTTCCAGTTTGATTCGGAGAGATTAAAGGATCCTCTGATTTGATTTGGATTTGGAGATTTGGCCACCGAATTAGGCCGAATCTCCACCGAATCGAATCAGGGACTGAAGCTTCACACAGCCTTACTAAATATTGTATATTCAGATGCTGTTAATGTGATAGTCATATAAACAAATTCAATACAACATATTTTTCCCATCAAGAGCTCTTTTGATCATGGGACTTGTATTAATTATAAATATGTCTAACTTGAGTCACATAAATCATTGTACTTTTCAGTTTAAAAGGTATGGATATAATATATTCTCTTGAAATGTCTTTAGAGGAGTTCACAAAAATGAAAACGTTATGTAATGCATTCAGAATTGACCGTAGTGTTACAATTATGGGTGAGCCCTGATTAATTGAAGATGAAATGCATTCATATAACTGTAAATCTTATTTTAAATGTGTTCCAGATGTGTAGAGGTTATTGCTAAAGAAGGACGGAACCTGAAAGAGCTGTATTTGGTATCCTGTAAGATCACTGATTATGGTATGTAATACAGCTTTTTTCCCTCCCACCTTGTATCAAGATTGATCTCTTGTAGCTTTACATGAGATTTTTATAAAGCTATTGGAAATATTTAGTTATGGATTCTACTCCATAAAATTGCTAAGCTGATGTATAAACATACTTTCAATATGCATATAATTATTTGTGCCTGCAAGTTTCAAAGTTGATATACAAGCTTGCACGTAAATCATGCTTATTTGATTTAACAGACAGAGATGGGATTGGAGTAAATGGTAATTGTACCTTTGGAATGATGATGGCAACTTACCCTCAAAAAACTGTGTGTTTTAAAATGAATTAAGCACATAACTAAGCAATTATGACTGTAGATTTTTTTAATTGCTTAATGTAGGATGTAAAAAATGGAATGTATCCTATGTTACTTTAAAAAAATATTGCTGTGCAACAATGGAAACCATGACAATTTAGTAGTATCACGAGCAACAGAACTAGGCTTTGAAAAACTACAGGTTAATTCTTTAGATTGATTAGGTTGCAAAAACTATAGGTTTCTATGGCAAGAGTTTGAGTGATGATAGATCAAATGATATGGTTTAAAACAATCAAGTAGTAAGGAAACCCACTGACTCAAACTAGAGCCAGGTTTTGGAATTAAGGCTCAGATCCAAAAAGTAAGGCAAAATCCAAATCATTCTCTTAAGCACCTAATGAGAGTTGGGCAGAATTTTGACATCACAAAACGAGATCCAGTCCAAACCTGCTGCGAAGTTGCAAAACTACAGAGCTGCTTAGATTCATTGCCCTATATTTTGACTGAAAAAATCCTTAGTCTTCTCATCCTAGTTTTGTAGTAATCCAGATCAAGATGTGTAAGTCCTACCTAGGCAACTTCGTAATGCATGTCAGTGTTGTGAGGTGCTTGAACTCTGCCTGAAGGGAGACTCTTAGAAAAAACAACTTACATGTAGCCTGAAAATCCTACTTAGGCATCTAAATCCATTGATATCAATGAGATTTCCCGTTCATTTCCCCACAGCTTTTAGGATTAGTTCTAAGGTACCTGATTAGAATTGTCTTTCCACTTCCTTCTTTCCTCATTCCATGGCTTTAAAATAAAGAATACCAAAGTTGGTATTCTTTTTAATAAACATAAATGGGTCCATTTTTCCAGTCTTGCACTGCTTTGCTTATCTGAAAGTTCAATACAAAGATTATTCTTGGCCCAGCAGTGAGACAAGACCCTGTAGCACATCACTGAGAAGTAGAGGCTTGGTGCAAAGAAGTAGTGGGAGATTTGGGAGAGGAATTCTCTTTGGGCTGTAAAATGACAATGGAGATTCTGAATTGTTAGGACAGCAGTTTTAGGTTTCAATAACCTCTCCTCTGTTTGAAACTCCTCTGCCCCTTAACGCAGTAACCAGGGAGTTACTTGGATGGTTAGATAAGCATCCTTAATTGTCAAAATTGAATTGTTCCTTCTAATAGTTTATAAAGTTTGTGAATCACTAGTTTAAATTGTACTATGATAAATTAGCATCATAGGTATAGTTGATCTAATAATCATTGGGGCTTTTCAGATAACTTTTGGTGGTGCTTCTAGCGGTAGATTTATTACAGTTGACACCTGTTAGTAGCAACATTCTGGTGCCTTAATGCCATGTTGCTCTTAAGTGGCTTGTCCTATTATAGAGAATGTCAGTGGAATGCATAGTATGGAAAATATTCCAAAGGGAAAATATTGCTGGTAAGAGGCTGTTTCTCTTGCAAGGTGTTGTTACAAATGTGTGTCAACAGTATTCATATATTAATATTAGATTAATATTCACTCAAACATACATTGGTAAAATCAGTGCATGAATACTATGGCTTATCTAGCCTTAGAAATTGCACAAAACTTTACTATTTTGAAGTTAAGCATTCACATTTTATTCATGCTGGGTACATCTACACATGCACTTTACCGCAGTTGACTAATTAGCTCCACAGTAAAGCATCACCCACTACACATGTGCTGGTTTTAGGTGCAGTAAATTAATTAAGTCTTCTGTAAGAAAGAACTGTTGGGGACAGTACTATCTTATGACAGAGTCATTTAGTGCACAGAAACAAACGTGTGGACGGTGACTGGGACTGCAGCAGTTTGAGTCAGGGTGGAGTAGCTGTGGGCTGGCAGCAGGTTCATGGTGTCAGTCACATAGCTCTGCAGTTTTGGCCCTCTTGGCTCCCAGCTAGCCCCTCTGTTGCCCAACACTGCCACCCAGAGGTTGGGGCTAAGCCCCCAAGCCTGCTGCCAGCCAGGGTCTGCCCCACCTGACTCAAACTGCTGCAGTCACAGGCACATGTGCAGACGCTGCACCAAGGAGTAGCTGACTCTGGCACAAATTGTGCTGAAGTTTATCACATTACCTTAGTGGCATGTGTAGATACACCCACTGAGACTACTTTGAAAATTTCAGCCAAGTTTTCTTGATGTGATAGTGAGTAGTTCAATGAAATTTTGTCCACTGGTGGCAGAAATGTAGTTGATTATTAGTTCAAACTGCCAAAACTGGGAATTGCATTAGTAAGTAAAACAGCATGATTTTACCAGCACAATTTGTTCGAAACATACCTTCAATTTGAGACACCAGGAAAGAATTAAGATATCAGCACTAATTGTAATTGTTGACCCATAACTAATACTGAATAGAGGGATGCATGGGTGAAATAATTACACATACTCTAAGAAATCATATCATGAAATGTGAAATTAAACAGTTTGTATGTTCCTAATTAGTTTTGTCAGTAAGATTCTATGAAAAAATAAAATACGTAATCCTGAAAATGTATACTCTATTGAAAAAGGTTACTAAAAATGGTGCACTGAAAGGTTGCCTTCCTACTGAAATCCAGAAGACTAATAAAATCCCCTAAACCATAACAATACAGTCATAGCCAACATTAGTTTCCCTAGCATGCTGCCACCATGGAATTTAATTTGGTGGAAGACTGCACAGAATGATGAGTTTAAAAAATATAATGTAGCAGAGGGCATCTGACTCTCTTGGGCTGTATTTGGACACCAACAAACCTCTAACGCTGTTTTAGTAGATTTTCTGTTCTCACTATAGTCACACAGGAATTTTTTTTATGTTTAATTATATTAGACAAAAAGAAAAACAAAAAAGGAAACCAAGGTGGAATTGAAATAGGCAGCAGATGCTAAGAGTTGTTAACTATATAAAAAAAGAAAAGAAATACAGTACTGCTTATTACACTGCTAGAGTTAAGGCTGTGTCAGCACTTTTGTTATGAACTTCTCAGGGGTATATAACTGTTGTAAAAATCTTTTCACCCTTAAAACTTATGAAATCAAGTCTTAAATCTTGGAATAAATGTTTAACTGCCTGTCTATATATGTTGTTGATATGTATGTATGTACATGACCAAATACGTTTTTTTCAAAGTTTAGGATGAATGTATCCAGCTCTATATAACTGAAAAATAACATAAAAACTTGGTTTTTTAACACGAAAACATACATGCATTTTTAAAAGACACAGTCACTGTTTCTGTTTAATTTTACTTTAAATAAGATATTTTAGCTTTAATTTTTTACCCCTAAACTTTTAAGAAAGGGCTTCATTTAGGAACTTTTGGGAGGCTTTTTGTTTAGTTTTGAAATGCTCATGAAAGTTGAAGTGTTTATATTTACATTTTTTCTGCTATTAAATGTATGAAACTCTGTAAATGGTTACTTGCTTTATAATGCTTTTATCTTTACATAAATGTTGTATGACTTACCATAATGCAAGTCAGTAGGATGGTAAACTAAATTAAAAGTTTTCTTTCATTCTAATTTATTTTAGTTAAGTGATAAGTATTTTAAACAACTGCCTATGCATTACTATGAAACAAAGTTACTAGAAAATCTGCAATATTTGTGAATGAAGTATTTCTGTGGTAAACACTTGTTTACCCAGGACCACAGATAGCATGAAGTCAGGGCTGACTCTAGTTCCATATACCATTTTGTCCTTTTGTTAAACAATAGTGAATTAAGCATGGAGTGTTAGCGTATCTTTGAATTTCCTGCCTTTTGTTGATTTGTGTCACAACCTTAACATTATTTAAACATAGACGGTTTTTGTATTTAATCTTTTAGTAAGAACTAGTAAGGAAGCTGGATTTTCTCAGCTGTGGGGAGACTGTGTGTCAAATGAATTAGGTTGATGCGAAGATGTATAGCTGTGAGAGGGGACAGCAATCACACACAGAATTGTGTAACTGTCTCTTCAATTTTCCGCTCTAATTCTGGGGTTTATTGATTTCCTGAGTGTTGGGAATTTGTTTGTAAGGAATATTTCCATGAGTAAAATATTACTTATAAAGTTAGTGATGGTGCATAGCATTTCACTCAGTGAAACACAAAGGTGCGGTTTATGTTCAGAGATTAAAAGCTTTGGTGAAACTAGCCAGTGAATGGTTATGGAATGGCGCTGGACGGTTTAAGGATATGATCTTACAGCCACGCTTTCCAGGCATTTACTAAGAATTACTAAAGAAGCTCAACTTTCTCAGCTGCCTGGAAAGATCAAAGCCTCCATACACTTCTTTTCCACTTGCAAAAAGTAGTGAAACCTAATATTTTGGAGTCCTTATGGAGAAAAGAATTTGAAATAAATATTTAAATTATAGGTTACAACTAAGAGCAGCAGTTAAAAGAAAGAGGTACCTGGGAACTGAGGTTTGAAAATAAATACTCAAACTAGGATCTATAACAAATCTAGCATGGACTGCCATAGGAACCTATTTATTAGCATTTAAAAATTACAACATCCAAATGATTATCTATAAAGGTACAACAAAAACAATTTAGAGGAATGGATACTTCTCCTTATCACTCGTGCCAGCTTATTGTCACCTATCCTGTATCCTAGATAAGACACCAGTGTTCTGGTGGCATTTGGATTTTCTAATACTTTGGACTTCTGGGGAAAAAAATAAATTCCCCACTTCTAGCAGTTGCACAGGGCTCC